AACTTTATACGAATGCGTCGAAAGAAAATCAATGATTATAAGTTGTAATATCTAAATGATTATAATTGGAATCAAATTAATTTTTTTACGATCCGAGTCAACTTTCTGAATTTGTTTGGACGCTACGTTCTATGAGTTGTTTTTAACAATTTTCTCCTTATAGATGCAACAGATAGAATTAAGATTAGTAGCATTTATCATCAAAAATATTTCGACGTAAGCCTACATACCCCTTTTCATTTTTCGCGAACACTCCCTTTAAGTTTAATGATTTGGCAAAGAATCAAACAATTTGGCATTTGCAAAGGGAATCATAAAATTCTAAATATAAGGAAACAGACAGTAAAAATTCCGTACAGTCGTCTCTGAAGCTATTTATTTCCATCTATAAATGAAGGGTCACTTAACATAAAGCCTGTACTCTGAATTCACTTAAATAAGATTAAAGATATGACTATTTGATAAGACGTTATCTACACCATAAATAATACATACATTATACACTCTTTTGTATGGACATACATTTTTAATTTTACCTTACATATAGCAATTCAATTAATTAGTATAAAGAGTTATGCATGTACTGTACTCTACAATAATTGTGATACGTCCATATCAAATAGATTCTAGTACAATAGATGGCAATGTAGAGTTTGTACACTCTCGGTACAGCTGTATACGTCATTAGTGTCAATTCAGTTTTTGTGTCCGACAACATTATTAATAATAGTAATAATTTTGGAATAAAGTGCTTATCTTACAGTAAATTAAGTGCAATTTTTTGTGTTCTTTATTTTCTGTTTTCACACTTTTTACTTAATCTTGAAAAAAATGTCAACTAAAGTGAGAAAATTTCGTTTTCCTTGTTATATTTACACTTAAGTGACGTCGTGTATAATTGATCAATTTCTCTGTTGCCACCTATTGTACTTGATAATCTATTTGGTTCATTTTATCATGGCTGCCGCTCAGAGGCGTATTACTATTCAGGCCCCAACGGGTGCTGAGCACCCCCCCCCTGGAAAGAGAAAATAATTTAAGCCCCCACCCCTGGACAAATTCTTAAATACGCCCCGCCGCTGTTTCACAAGTTTTCATTTTGAGTTTCCCGCGCTTTTAAATTTGACGGACAATTAATATTAAAAAATCTGACAGAAACGACGACATTTTAGAATTTCATTTCTACAAATATCAGTTTGGAAGGAAATCTTTGAAATCTCCACAAATCAAGTCATCTAACCTAATTAGAATGGAATAAAAAGTTACATATTTTAATTTTTAATTAATGATTTAATTAAATCTACATATCAACATCAGTTTTTTTTTCAATATCCCACTATATTACCTTCACTATACCACGCACTTTTTAAAATCTAAATATTAATTATCATTTAATCAATTAATTTCTGTTTTAACTTCCCACTACCCTGACTACTAACACTCTTGAAGAAATATAAATTAAAAAAGAAAAAAAGAGGTAGTTTAAAGAATTTTTAAATGCTAATTTTTGTAAAATTTGTTGTTTTTTTAGCGTATTTTTCATTAAATTCTAATATTTTTTCAAGAAAAATGGTTGTTTACTAGCTTTTTACCTAAGTTTACAAAAAATACTACTTTTTTCAACAACAAAAAAGGCATTTTATACGTTCACCACCACCCCACCCCTCCTGAATGAATTCCCCTGTTTACAACGGTTACACAACTTGTTGTCTGAAATCTACTAAAATCTATATCGGAAAATGTTCTTCTCAGGAATTATTCTACAGAAATTCAAGACAGGAATGCACTGCATGCAGTCTTAAAACAACAGCTCACAGCATGCAGTCTCAAAACAACAGCACTGTTTTAGAAGTCAATTCAACAGCACGTCATGCCTTCTCTGAGAAATAGTAAAGCATCCTGTATTGAATCTTCGGCACACCATACAGTCTAAGATCAACAGTACAGCATACAGTCTCGAAACAACAGTATAGCACGCAGTCTAGAAATAACAGCAAAGCATGCAGTTTAGAAACAACAGTATAACATGCAGAGTCTTGAAGCATAAATACAGCATGCAGTCTCGAACAACGTAGCACAGCACACATTATTGAAACAACAACATAGCATGCATTTTAGTAAAAAACATCATAGCATGCAGTCTAGAAAAAACATCAGAGCATGCAGTCTAGAATTAACAGCACAGCATGCATTCTAGAAAAAACAGTATAGCATGCAGCCTAGAAACAGCAGCACAGCATGCAGTCTAGAAACAACGGAGAGCATGCAGTTTAGAGACAAATTTAGAGCATGCAGTCTAGAAAAAACAACAGAACAACCAATCTAGAATTTACAACACAGCATGCAGTCTAGAAACAACAGTATAGCATGTAGTATAGAAACAACAGCAGAGCATGCAGTCTAGAAACAACAGTATAGCATGTAGTCTAGAAACAACAGCAGAGCATGCAGTCTAGAAACAACAGTATAGCATGCAGAGTCTTGAAGCATAAATACAGCATGCAGTCTCGAACAACGTAGCAACAGCAGAGCATGCAGTCTAGAAACAACAGTATAGCATGTAGTCTAGAAACAACAGCAGAGCATGCAGTCTAGAAACAACAGTATAGCATGTATTCTAGAAACAACAGCACAGCATGCAGTCTAGAAACAACAATAGAACACCCAGTCTAGAATTAACAGCACAGCATGCAGTCTAGAAACAACAGTATAGCATGTAGTCTAGAAACAACAGCACAGCATGCACATCACAGCATGCCGTTTAGAAACAACAACACAGCATGCACAGCACAGCAATTGAAAAGACAGACAAGAAAAGTCTGTATATATAGATTGTTTAACTTTATTTTTAGTTCTTTCTGTAAATCCTTGACTAAACAAAGCATGTCTGAGTTCAATCAGTATTGGATTGACGTCTCAAGTAGGAATAGTAAAACCATGTTTTATACAAGGATATTCATAAAGAATGAAACTTTCAGAACGACCTTAAACTCAAAACCTCGACTTTTGTAGGAGTATATTTCATCTGTAGAAGGTCACTTACAAGTTACAACGAGATTTTATTATTTTCTTTGAATTACATACATACCGAAAAATGTAAGCCATTTCTATTGGAAAGTTTGGGCTTCCTGGATTCAAGCAAGGTCCAACTTGTTTAGTTGATAAATTAGATTTTATATTTACAGTCATATCTTCTGATAAGAAATAAAAAAATGAACCATTTATAAGACTTCTTAGATTTTTGAGATCTCATTAAAGTAATTAAAATCTTAGAAAATCTTAAAAAGTAGAATTAAGCGGTACCCAGCTCTTTTTGCACCAATTTCTAAAAAATAGCCCAATTACGCCTATTTTATCACTTTAAGCAAATAAGTTGTGAGGTTTAACGAAAATTCATTAGGGATGAAACTTCAGATTGTAAATTATAGATCTTATCCAATTGCTTTTCTGAATAATAAGAGGAAATTCTGTTATCGCTATTTTTATTTATCTTATTAAGATTTATATACAGAATGAACATTACCCTTAGGTTTTACAAAGTCAAATATGCTGTGATTCAAAGGTTGCAAGCTCACAAGCAAAAATTGATGAGAATTTTGCTAATTACTTCTTAAGCACAAGTGCTTTCAAATGTACATTTTTTTCAATTTTACAAGGTTACAAAAAGTTCAAATGATTCTTTGAGATAAAACTAAGGCCTTGGCGTTGCGACACTTTTAGTCGATCCATTCTTAAAAATTCATGCCACTTTTCGCAGCATGGTCTGTAACTATTTGCAAAGTTTTTATCAACTCCGCGTTTAGAAAAAGCTATGTGCAGACTGAAGATATAACCAGAAAACGCTGGAATAAGAAGTCGACTTTTATAGACTTAATTTATGACTTTAAATAGGCCCAATGAACAAAAGGCACAGTATGCAGTGGAAACAGACCTATTTCACTAATAAGTGATTAAATAACTTACGAGTTAAGTTACTTGATGTATAACAACATAAAATGCACTTCATTTTTGCTTAAATGTCGTCTTCCTGGTTTTCCGGTTTTCTGGTTATTACTGTACAGTGTACATCATATATATCAACCTGGCGAATTGTTCGTGTTACTCATTTTGTAAATACGGGAAAATTTATTTTAATGTGTACATTTGTAATCATTTCTAATTGCAATAAAACATAATATATTAAATAATTTATAAAGATATTCCTAAGCGGTTTAAGCCTTTTTTTACTGTTCAGAATTAATAATCTAATATCTATTGATAAATTGTAATGTTTTTTTTGCTCAAAATTATTTTTTATTTTCAAAAGCAGTGTAGGTCCAATAATAAGTACCATAAACAGAGAATCTGTCTTTTTTTTCAAAGTGAGAAATTCTGGCCATTTTACTAATATTTCTTGCAAAATAAAAAAAAATAGTCTAAGAAGAAAAGCGAAAAAGTGTATTTCCTGTAAAAGGGAGAAACCATGGAGTCACTTTTTGATAATTGAAAGTTCCATCCTTGCGTCAAAAATAAATTGAAAATTTGAAAAAAAATTTATAATAAAAAAACAATTTTTATTAAAAAAAATAATTTCTTTTCTTTGTTGTAAAGATGAATTTATTTATATATATGAATCAATATTCAGAAAAATGTCCTCGGAGTTTCTTCAAGAACTCAAAGGCAGACTTTTATTACTAATAGGAATAAAAATAAGAGCATAAATTAGATTCAAAAATTATTATGAATTAACATAGTTATAACCTCATTGAGTATAACCAGAAAGCTGTGGAATAGGAAGACGACATCGTAGCAATATCTAAGCGTATTTGATGGTAAAGCAAAAAGTTATATAAGTGACTTAATAGATCAGTTATTAAGTAAAATGAGCCAGTTTACACTGTGTCTCATGTTCATAAGTCTTTCTAAAGTCTAAACCCGTCTTCCTAATCCATTGTTTTCTGGAATTTATGGTATTTTGGTAAAAACTGAAAATAATGTTCTAATATTTTTATTGAAAATCAAGCAGATCAGTTAAAGGTGGAAACTCAAGAAATTATTTTGATGAAATTCATCCAAGAAGTTCTGGAATCAATTACAGGTAGACATTTTTAGTAACATAATTACAGGTAGACATTTTTAGTAACATAATTACAGGTAGACATTTTTAGTAACATAATTACAGGTAAACATTTTTAGTAACAAAATTAAAAAAAGCATTTTCAAAAAAGTCCTAATTTCTTTGACCAAAAACATGAGGGAAAAATCAAAGAAGTGTGTACTACAAAAAAAGTCTTTTAATCCAAAGTTGTTATTTTTTTTATCCAGTAGTAAAGTTATTGATAATAAAGAATAAGAATTTCTGATGTTTTAATAAAAAACTTTTTCTGAACTGCAAAGATATATTTTAAAAAGTTGATTGAAAATTGCAGAATTGATAACATAGAACAAGGAAGCGGGGGAAATTATATTTTTTTCCCTTTCATTTTAGTCTAACGTATTTGAATAGATTACTCACAAACGATGAGACTTCAGAGACGACATTACCAAATTTGAACTGTCTGTTTCCTTATATTTATGATTTCATGCAACTGTAATTAAACTTCTTTCCTTCTTTGTCGAATCATTTATAATATTATATTCAAGGCAGTAATATTTATATATTATATTATATATGTATAAGTTTCAGGTCGTCTTTTCTCTTCCTTGAGGGCAACCCAACCCTGTATATAATCATTTTTTTCATGACAGAGAAATATTATTTTTAGAGTTTATTTATTCCGGGATATTAATTATACATATGACATCGTATGACCATGATAAAAAATAAAAAACTTTACCGCAAAGACGTACATGGTTACCCACAGAAGATCATACTTCATAGACGATTGTACAAAATCTTAACTGTCTGTTTCCTTATATTGACAATTTCCTTCAACTGTAAACATATTTGTTTCTTTGCCATTTGATTACTATATCTAAGGCAGAATAGATAATTTAACCTTGGGATCGTTTTCGGTCGTCTTTACAGTTTCATACGTTGCGGGCACCTCTGTAGTTCAACCTCTTCTCTTGTGCAAGCAGTTCAACCTGTAAGAATAAAAGATTTACTCTCTTTTAACTCTAATTTTCTTATATTTAATCTCTCCGCACTAAAACATGCAAACCTATGAATATTACAAAATCAATATTATTAAAATATCGAAAAAAAATTACTGTTGGAGGGATGCGTTCATGTTTTAGTTGTCTTGGATAAACTTTTATTAATGTTTGCGTGAAAGCTTGAAACTTTTAGATTTCTGTGAGTCAGTGCTTTAGTCGACCCCTTTTTGCAGTAGGACCCGTTAACTGAAAAGACTTGTTTCAAAGCCATGGGTTATAATGTTTCAAACATTTGATCAATCTACATTCTTAATGATTATAATATTGTTTTCAGGTGCTCAACCTGGATTTGGGCCGTTAACCCTGCATCCTGAAAAACGAAAGGTAGCATTTATAGAAAATTTTAAATCAGAAATATAGTAGCTTCTTCAAAAACAACTAGCAAAATTGAAGTGTATTTATTTGATGGTTAATAGTTATGAAATCACTTATTAAGTTAATCGGGTCTGTTTACACTACACAGTTGTTGTGTCTGCATGTTTATTTGACTGGTTAAAATGATTACTTGACTCTAAAGTCGGTTTTCTGGTTTTCACTACACAAATGGCTCTAGTCGGTTTTCTGGTTTTCACTATGCAAAATGGCTCTAGTCGGTTTTCTGGTTTTCACTATACAAAATGGCTCTATGATATTTTGCATACGTTTCGGTATCTAATTCATCCCTTGTCTAGCCAATTATCAAAATTTACTCTGCTCAAAAAAATGTTATTAATTATGTCTAGCAACTTTACAGGGAAGTTAAGAGAACTTTACTATTCCAAGTAAAATTAATTAGAAATTTGTATTAATCGAGTTGTTGTACACAATTTTATCGTAATTTAAGATAGTAATGCGCGAATTTATTAATACAAACTTCGCTTAACGGATGGTTATTTTACTTAACTGCCCCAAGGAGCGTTAAGTAACTTAACCTCCCTCTGTTGGTGGATTCATAGGTCTGTTATGTTGGTCAAAAGACGGTTCAAATTATAATTAATCCAGAAATGTTTTATGTTCATTAATTATCAAATAAAACAAATAAAAGATTTCATCTTTATAATTGTTTTAGGAGAAGGAGAAGAAAAAATGTGCTAAAAGGAAAGTTGTAAAGAAAAAAGTAAATATGGAAAATAGGTAAGATAATAATGTTAAAATATCCTAATATAATTTTGGTATCTTAAATGCATATATCTTATCCAAAAATAACTTATTGGATACGTACGCGTGATTTCCAGACACTATGTTATTTTCTTAATGCTAAAGGAATTGAGTCTTTGCCACAAACTCTGATTTTCTAATCCTTATATTGTCGCAACCAAATGTCGTAGACCTTAAATATTTCAAATTATGAATTTTGTTAGCTCAAATTATCTAAGTTTGAAATATCAAAGGTTAGCAACATCAGGTCGCTGAGATATTGGAATTCGAAAATTTAAGTTTGTGGCAAAAATTCTATTCTTTTACAATTTTTTTTATTCATAAATAGGGATTGTGAGCGTTCTATATGACCCTCCATATTTCAAGCAAAGATACATTCTTACCCTGATATAAAATGTGAAAGATATTGTTGTTGTTGTTCTATATAAGTTTAAAAGTGTATAATTCTGATCCTTCCTATGTGCTTTCTTGTAGTAGAAATGCGCAAGTTACTTTTGTAGAGAGTCCACAATTTAAAATAATCAGTTTTTAAAATTATAAACATTGATATCAATCATCAATTATTTCTTGATCACACAAGCTTTTAAGTGTACCGTTGTAAATGAATGGTGTATGGGTCACACGCAATTACACTTACAGTCCCTTTAATAATAATATTGCAGAGGGAAATCTAGCCCAGGTATTGCAATACAGGATATATCACTTATAGTCCCTTTAATAATAATATTGCAGAGGGAAATGTAGCCCAGGTATTGCAATACAGGATATATCACTTATAGTCCCTTTAATAATA